CTACACAGTTTATTCCCTTCTTCCTTTCCAAAAGGCGTTTTCGGGTTAGGGTAACTGACCTACACCCTCTTCCGAAGGCAGCACCACTTTGTCCTCCCAACTCCCAACCTCTGGTTCAGGAAACACAGACAGAAAATGCATTAGGAGAGCTTGACGTTAGTCCAATAACCACAAGTCACCCAGCTTTGCAAAGGAAATCCAAACCATTCTCCCAGTGGCTCTTCATCGTGAACTGTTGGCCAAGCAGCCTCGGTGCACCACGTTTGCCACAGCTTCTGGGAACGCTCTGCAGTGCCTGCCTGCACCCCCTGGCACTTCGGCAGGCAGGCTGCTGAATGCTTGACACAGTAATTGCATCTGACTAGAATTCTCACTGCCTAGGACCAGAAATTAATTTAATGGTGATATTAGGAAGTGACCGGTGCTGTCTCTGATGGGAAAATCCGAGCCAAATACATTTATCTGTAAAGCTCAGAAATCAATTTTCTTTGTGAAGACTTTCCCACACGAGTTGCTTTGCAAGATGGTTGCCAAAACTGAGAGCTGGCTGCCACAACAGCAGCTCCTCCACCTGCTGCTGCTGCTCTTACTCATGCAGGCCTTGTAAATCTTAGTGCAAGTTTCCTGCTTGGAAGAAAGTCTTAAAATACACCCATACTGGCGGACATAACATCTGGCAGGCACATTTGCATGCAGCCATTTGTAATTACTCCTTTCTACAAATGAGGTTTGTGTCTGAAGGCCCCTCAGTTATCCACGATGGTCATGGGAATGAGTTTGGGACTTCTCGCTCTGGGGCAGAGGAGCTCATGCTGGCAGGGAGCAACCTGCAGAGAGCTGCAGACGCCCCATGATTTCAAAAGGTGAGGCAGATGCTGAAGCCTTGCTTGAAATGTTTGGGAACAACTGATAAATGCAGCAAATATTGATCAGCGAGCTCCTGCCCAGCATTCCTGATCATCCTCTGCAGGAGTATCAAGCAGGGGAGCAACTGTGCGAAGACCTTGGGAAGAATCACCCTGAGAGTCGGCTCCCTCATGGAAACGCCTTGGCTGGACATCCAAAAAAAAAAACCCTACAACCTTGAAAGATTTCCAGACATCAACAGAGGGAAAGGGATTGCAAAGCTTCCAGAAAGTAGGTCATATTCAGAGCAGAGAGTTTATCTGGGAATACACTGACTGCTGCTCAAAGCAGGCAGGTGGGTACTGGAAATACTGCTGTGGCTGATAGACCTTACATTCCTTAAATTCCTTAGGCAACACTGGATGGATCAGGAGGAAAAAGAAGAATGGTAATTCCTGGTAGCACATGATAGCCTGCTGACATCCTCCTTGGCCACCTGCATGTATGGCCGGTGGAACAAACCCGATCCAACACAGGAATGGTGAAAAGAAAGATGGGTTTTGAGACTGTGGGCTCTGCCTTGTCTTTAGAGCAACACAGGACACAGCAGCTGGAACAAAGCAGTCCTCAGCGCTCCCCAGTTGACAGCAGGGCTGCTAGGAAGGAAACTCAGACTTACATATGGAGGGGACGTGTTGCTTTGCAAGCAGCAAAATAAATAATAATTATTAAATAATGGCTACAAATGAAAGAAAGCTGTTACCTGGGCTAAAGATGTAGTTTTGGTACTCTGGGTTCAGCAGCAATACAGCATGCCCAGAGGATCAGCAGCTTGCAATACAGGCACACACAAGGGTCGTGGGCATGCAAGGAGCAGCGTGCTCTGGTATCTCCAGCACGTTGGTTGGCTGGAAGCACAAAGCTGATGAAATTTTTGCAGAAAAAAAGAACTGGCTTTCACCAGTTCTTTTCTGGATACTGCAGGAATTCATGTACCAAACTCCCGGACCTGGCATGCACCTGCTGCTATCAGAGAATGCCACTAACGCCTTGCCTGAGCCCAGAGGGGTGAAGCTGATTCCAGTATTTGCCACATCGAAATGATCTCATCACCCACGGCATGAGCTGGTGAGTGCTGTGAGCCCAGCGCGTGACAAGCTTTGTAGACAATCGAGTTCAAAGCAAACAATAGAGAATACCAACATCCAAAACTGTCACAAAGCTTATGGAGCCAGGCTGTATCTGTTCCATCAGAAACTCATGAGGCAGCATCTGCCAAGCCAACGAATCCATATGCATTAACTAGGGGATTTGAGAGCACCGAGCTGTGGCAGCTGCAACGTTTTACCAGTGAGACAACAGGTATTAAAGGTGAGGAAGATGTGCAGGCTACTGCTAAGAAAATCAGGAGGAGTGGAAGATCTTGTCTGAAATATACTCTAGTCTTCCTCAAGCCTCTCAGGGTATGTAGCACGCTTTCATCAAGCTAAAGCAACTGTGATATATTTGCATGAGAAATTGGTTTTAGTTCCTTGTTTATATTAAAAATCTCTTTTGCCAATAAACAGGTAAAATTCAACCATTATAATTAAAAAATAAATGTTTTCTCAAATAGACCGTGTCACAATTAAAGACGTGTCACGCCTACTAATTTATTGTATCTGACGAAAAGCCACACATGCAGAAGACTTACCGAAGAGGAAGATTCACTGAGATGTGCCAGGATAAATGGCAACAAAGCTGAAAGTTTTGATCAAACTCAGTAACTACACAAACCTCACAAAAAATACGGGTCAGATTGAATTTTCTCACTGCCTGTCTTGGGAAGACAAGGAGTCCTGTTCAGTCAGCTGCTTTGGAAGCCTCTGAAGGATTTAATTCTCCCTGCATACAAGGCAGAGGAGCTGGCAGCCCTGCACCAGTCTGGACTCTGAGACCTTCTGGAAATCTGAAACTTAGGCGCTTTGCCTTGCCCTTCTGGACTCCAGCAACTTCTTTTCCCTGAGGGTTTGTGCAAGTGGGACATGAAAACATCTCGCAGGCCACGTGCCGCTCTCCAGCACTTCGATTCCCATGACTGGCACCAGGCTGTGCTGCAGCTGACCCCGCGACGTGGTGCTCTGCCCACCCCGGCCAGATGAAGCACCAGCACCCCTGCAGACCTGCCATCTCCCATCTCTTGGTAGTCTGTGGGTCCTGTTTCATCTCCTCAGAGGATAATTTTGAAGCCCAGGGTAAATGAGGCTGACCCCTGGCTTCCTGCACCTTGATATAAATGCTGCCTCCCTAAGAAAGCTGCAGGATCTGGCACTGGCACTGATGGGGAGGTTTGGGTGCCTGTTGTGGTCTGCAACAGCAGAGCCTGACGCAGGGTCAAACCAACACGGGCTACAAATCGGTCTGATTTATTTTATATAGGATACGTGACCCCAAAACATGAGCTGACACTCCTCTGAATTCTGCCCTTGAGAAATGTTTCTTAACAACTTTAAGAACACTATCAAGATAGGGAAGTCCAGCTGTACCCCCTCTCCCCTCCTACCCCATCACTCTAAAATATAAAAACTGCAGTTTGGTGCTGGAAAGGCAAATGCAGAAGGAGACAATACAACTTGGCATGGTCCCTGTGCCCATGGTGTCAGGCTCACTGGATGAGTGACCCCCCTCTGCCCCATCACCCTGAAGCCCCCGGACCTCAGTAATGGCAGCAGAGCCCACCCAACCCTAACATGGGGCTGGTCCCAGAACCACCATTCTGTCTCTGAGATGGCAGAAATCTGCAGGGTGCTTTCCTACGAAGGCCTCTCATGTGGAACATTGCCACTTGCACAACACAAAATGCCTTCTGGATGTGTAAGGGAAGAGGACACAGCAGCACTGTCAGCACACTGATCCAACCTCTCGAGCCCCAGCAGTGAATTGGGGCTGGGGGCGATGCTCGATACCCCTCTGCATCAGACCCAGCACAAGCCAAACTGGATGCTGCCTTACGAATCAGAAATTCAGGATCACAATCAAAGTTGAGGAGGTCAAGATTAAAAAAAATATTAAACCCAGCTGTACATTTCCACTCATTTTGACAGTTCTCTGAACATCTGACGTTGTTATTGTTGCTTGTTTTTTTGTTTTGTTTTTTAAGAGAAATGGGAAAGATGTGAAAAGCACAATGGGGAGGGTTAGGGGGAGGGGGGAACGCGTTCCAGAAGGCAAAATTTCAGTCAGCCGTGACTCAGGAGAAGCAAGTGCCACCCACTGAGCTGCACAGGCCGCGGCGCGGCAGCGGGCAGTGATGCCGCGGTGAGTCAGGAGCCACCCACGCCCCCACCCCCGCGGCTCCCTGAGGCGCTGGGCGCTCCTCGGAGGGCTGCCACACGGCGCAGGCCTCGCTCAGCCTCTCCTCGGCCTGCCCAACGTGACAAGAGCTCAGCCCCGGCGTGCTCGGCCGCGGACTTCTGAGCTCTGTCGCTTTGCTTTGAACAGCTGTGAGGATAATGAGCTGGGATCACCTTCCCGGGACTGTGGCAATACAGCTCTGCTGCTGCTGCCTAACACAGTTGCTCCAAAACACAGCCCATCTGCTGCTGTGAATGCTGCAACGCATTGGTTCTTCGCTACCTTTCTCTGCCTTCATGGTGGGTTTCATGGCAGAGATGTCCCCTAAAACACGGCAGCTACATGAAGATGAGGTTTAAAATCCGTTTCCCTGAGTGACAGCACATACACCCTGCTCAGACCAGACTGCTGGCTGGTATTTCTTCAAGAGGCAACAGTCATCACTTTGGTGCAGTAATTGAGCTGTCTGCCCAAGCGCCAGGCTTCATAGTTCATACAGAAATTCTAGGGTTATCTAATCTCAGATCATATGTTGCAGCCAAAACCCAGAAGTAGAAGTGAGGCAACGAGCCAAAACGAGGGGCACATGAGAAAAAGGCATGAAATGAACAAGTGGAAGCTGGATTTGCTACTAGCATAAAAAACCCTCTATCATGTTATACTCACCATCCTGTAATTCAGTATTTCTAGCATGTGGCGCTATCCATGTCCTCCTCTGCACGTGTAGCAAACAGCCACCTTGCCCTAAAAACCACTTTGGAATGGAAAGCCTGTCCCCAGCATGTCCTTAGCAGTGCTGCTTTCTCCCTGGATGTCCTTACCTTCTTGCAGAGAACCATCTGGTGATCAAAGAGAAAGAAAACACGCTGCTGGTTCCGTCCATAAGGCTGGTAAATCCAGGACATCTCTCCCGTGTAGATCAGCTCTGAGCTGCGGTCCAAGATATCGTCTCCCTGGAGGGCACAGAGAATGAGGCCATGTGAGCCACTGCTCGCAGCCACGGCATGTTTCTCTTTGCAGAACAGGAAGGGGCAATAATTAAACAAGATTTTGGCCCTTTTGTAACTCTCAAAGCTGCCCTGTCTGACTTCAGACCACAAACTGGGGATGGGGGATCCTTCTGAACAAAAGGAAATCACTTGAGTGGGACATTCAAAGCACGGCCATTATGGTTCACCCTGCAACGAGCAATGGGACAGCACAACCGCTGCCATAGGACACCGTCCCTGATCCCCTTGCTCTGCCACCCCCAGCTCTTGCTGCAGGTGCCCATCCCGCAGCTCTGCGGGGCTCCCTGGGGCACGAGGACTCCCGTCTGTCCCCACAGCCCCTGGCTCTGCCCCGGCAGAGCACTCCGCTCTCACCAGGCTACTGCAGCCCCCTTGCTCTGAGCTCCCTCCAACCCCTGCCTCCTGCCCACTTTGTGCTTAGGGCAGCAAATTCCCCGTCACCCCCTCTTCCTGTAGAAAAAGATCCCCGTGCAAGTGCCCCCTGGAGGTATCAGGCCAGCTACCAAAGTCATCTGCAGTGGGATCTCCATTCCCTCACTGGTGGGGCTGCCAAAATTCACCCCTACAGACTGCTGCCTCTCCTTCCACCCTATCAAGCAATGACAGTCCCTTCTCCTGTGGGTTGTCAGAGCTCCCCATCTCCCAAAATCTATCCAGCCCCACGGCTGGCAAGGCCTCCCCGGCCGGCTGCCAGAATGCCCTCACCCTTTCTCTGCCTCCGGCTAACGCTTGTTTTCCTCTCCGAATTTTTTTTTAAGGATTCATGAGCAGATGGTCTTGAAAACACAGCGCTCTCTCTCCCACTCTCTGAGAGAACAAATGCAGTCACCCTCCACTAATTGGGATGAGCTGGACTTTTTAAAAAGTTAATTAAAATCTATTTATTAAAAATGGGTGAATTCACCACCACCTGCCCTGTGGGCATCTCTCACTCTGCAACACCACAGAAGGAAATAGGACGACTTCAGCTACAAGGTAAGGAGCAGGATTTGAGAATGAAAGAAACGCTTTCTTTTTTCTTTTTTGGCTCTGAAACTAGTGCAGTGCTGGCTTTGATGCCGAACTAGAGCCAATCCTAGGATGGGAGCATCCCAAAATCTCATCCAACAGCTTGTAAGGGTTCAGCCAGCTATGGGGGGCATCTAGATAGACACGCTATTCTGGTTCCACTTACGCTGGCAGGTGCCAAAGCAACTACGAGTCACCCCACTCCTCATTTCTCGGTGAGGATTTCAGACTGCTGTTCAGGTAAATGTGTAATTAACCTCTCAGCATTGATTGGAAGCAACTGTCTGAGTCCCTGGGCCCTGTGACAACAGCAACTTCATTAAGTCGCTGCATCATTGCGCTGCAGCAGACTTCCAAATCGCCTCAGCGAGGTGCTTATCTGCCTCTCTATCTCCCTTCTGTGGCTGTAGTATCCCAAGGCCTAATTAGGGATAACTTCCCAGGCACACAGGGGGTCATTCCCAGAAGGGATGGGCCTTACGGGGTCTCAGAGAGGTGGCAGGGCCCAATCTCAGTGGGTACCTCCTGGCCAAAAACCAGGGCCCAACAGCTGCTGAGGAAGCTCGGGCCTAGGCAAGGCCTTGAAAAAGAAGCCTCTGAAGGAAGCACACAGGCTGCAGAAACTGGGGGCTTTTCTGACTAAACGTGAGCTTACACGAAGAAGATTAATACAAGCCTACGGACAGGAGCTTTTATGAGAAGGGGCAAGCCTAGAAAGGGCTGTCTGCTAAAAATAGAAACCCAGCTTTGTCTTTTACTCCTGTGGTAGCATCTCAAGCCTGAGGATACACAGAGGGCTCTGTAAACACTTCTACTTGATTAGCTGAATCCAAACCGTGTCGTCCCTGCAAGCCATTTAAAACAAAAAAAGTCAGATCTGAAACGATAGGGTTGGTATTGCATTTTGCATGTTGTGAAAATGTGAAAATTGTGTTCCTTTTCAGGCTGTCCCGCTGCTTCATCCCGAGAGCAACACCTGAGCGGGGGCTGTCCCGGCTCAGACCACCCCTGTGCCCGAGCCCACCTCGAGCACAGCCCCCAGCTGCTACTGCTGGGCACAAAATCCCCTCTCCTAGTTAGCATTCAGCGAGCAGGGCTCTCTTCTGCCTGACACTGCTGTTCTTTAATTAGAGATTGACAGGCTGATTAGCACTCTGGGCTACGGAAAGATCAGAAAAAGGAAAGCAAGAGAAATGTTGTCCTTTTCATCAGGCTCATTTTTTGATACCTTCTGTTGCTGGGGAAAGGAAAAAAAGGAAGAGAAGAAAAGATGGATCTGTTTCAGTCCCTGTTGTGATTTTTTTTCCCAGGAGGGTTTCTCATCAGGCTGTCCTCACTTTGAAAACAGCATGTTTCGTGTCATTCTTGGATTCAATAACGTAATATTACGCTGAAGCCAACTATAATATATTACATAATTAAGGGCACCGAGTCTTGATTTAAAGGACCAGTAAATAACAAGAATGGGAAGAAATTTAAAAGGACAGTGTTCATTATATTTCTCAATTATATGTATTTTTCCCTTCATGTAAATATAATGCTCTTGAAACCTGCCAAAGTGGCAACCCACGGGAATCTCGGGTAGAAATATCTAGAAATCTACATAAACCAAAGTAATCTGCTTAAATAGCAGGTTGAGACTAATGCAGGCTGATGAGCAAGGCTCTCTCCGGTGCCAAACACCCCGCTGCTGGCTCAGGGACTGCCAGTGATCCCTTCCAGGGGATGTCCATGGCATGGGGAGCCCTGCCACATCGCCTCCCTCCTCCGAGAAAGACCCGCCCCAACGGTGGGCTTTGGGGGAATAATCTCTTTATAGTGCTATGTACACATTATGCAGTGACCTTTGGGATCTGCAACTCTCAGAGGGGCCAAGGAGGGACTGAGCATGTAAAGGCTGCCCACAACGGGCTCTGTCTGGCCCGTTTCAGGTCTGATCCAGAGAAGATTTTGCACGTTGGGCTGAGCCCACTCCAGCTAACTGCGTGCGCCAGTTTTACCTACCTGCCTTTAAATGTCACTGTTTTGATCTAAGGATATTTAACTGCAAGTAAGAGGATGACGCTGAGCGAAGGGAAATAGAGGTTGAACATCAGGAAACACTTCATAACAACAAGAGCTCTCAGACACTGAAAGGTCTCAGCGGGAGGTGGTGGAAGCCCTATATTCTGCGCCATTAACAACCGAAAGGACAAAAGGCACTAGAGAATTTAGTGTAGGCAGGGGCAGCACCTCTCTAGGTCTGTTTATACATTGGAAATCCAAGTTACAAAATAAAAAAAGTGAGTCACACATGGTAACAGTCCAATCCAGGGTTTTGGGTCAAGACCACGTTCCTACAAATTATACAGGAACACATTTCAAAGTGATTGGGATTATTTCTAATTTACAGCAGTCAGTGAGATCTGAATCATCCCTGAAGATTTCGCCCAGTCATTACTTGCACAAAGCTACCAGAGCTGCCAGTAATTCCTCCAACTTCGTGCCCTGGCTGCCACAGCACAGTTATCAGCTGCCACTAAAGTCAGGCCGCTCTCTGTCGGTCCCATTTGTGATTTAAACCAGCAGCCCCTGCTTACGTGACTGCCTGAAAAAAAGGTCTGGCCTTGGTAGCTGAAGGATGTTCACATTTGTCAAATGCTGACCCTGAAATTCACCTTCACGGGGCCGTGCAGAAAATCTTGAGGGATTAAAATGATTCCTGAAACACACAGGCACAACTCCACAGGATTCAATAAAATCCCTTCTGCTCAGATTAGCTAGGACATGCCCCCTGCTTTTTAAATTTGTTTTAGGATCAGCAATATGTGTGCATTTCCAACAATGCCCTCTCCTTGCAAGAATACATGTATGCACACTTTGTATACAAGTTCACTTCAAATATGCACTCACGAAATATTTGATTTGATTTTTTTTGTTTGTTTGTTTAAAAATCTATTTCCAACATCCTATCACAAAACACCGGTAAATTCAGAAATTAAAATGCAATTTCAAATCAGAAAGTCAGCATTGCTAGAATAGAGATGTTAAGGAAAAACATTTTCTAAATGAAGTATTTCAACGTCCTTAAACATTTACCCTTGGCTGCTGCTGAAACAATTCACCAAGTGCAAAATACAGTAGTAATTAGGGATTATCTCTATCTTGTGCCCTGCATGAATTTCTGGTGGGGGGAAGAAAAAAGCCTGAACTGTTTTTCTCCTCATTCCTGCTTTCTTGTAGTTGGGTTTGCTGTTTTTTGTTTTGTTTTGTGATATTTTTTTTTTGATTGTCTCAAGCCAGACTGTGCTGTACTCCAGATCCATGCCGCTATTGCTTGCTTGCACTGCTGTGCCAGCTGGAGAGATCAGGAAGCCACTGTGACACACACACAGGGACGGAAAGGAGTGCTTTTGGGTACAAAGGCTAATTAGAGCAGGAATAGGGCCACAGAAAGATGGGAGGGTAATGCTGTGGGTTCCTGCCTCCGTTTCAGCGAGCATTTAAAATCAGCTGGATAAGCGCTTGCAGAAGCATGAAGTTGACTTCGGGTCACCACCTCTCAGCTGTCCTCCACCAAAGAGAAATCAGGAGTCACAGTCTTCTACTCTCCAACCCAGATAACTCCCCACGGACTGGAAGAGAATATCTACCAGGAAATCCCTCTTCTGCTCCGTAACAGCCTCGCTGTAGCAGAGGTGGGCTTGAACCCCTGCAGGTTGGGCAGGAAATGGAGCCTGGGAGATGTGTCCTGCAGACAGAGATCAGCTGAGTGGGGGGGTTGGAAGTTAGCAGGCTGGGCTTGCAATGCCTGCGGAGAGCATCTGCAGATTGAGGACAGAGCTAAGCATCAGATCTGACAGATCTGGCATCCTGCTCCCTTCCTGCATTATACTACAGCTGACTTCTGAGTGGTTTGGGTTTGTTTTTGTGCATCCTCCTGGCCATTACACGGACATCTGTGAAGTGGAGGCTGGATCTGATGATTCAGAAGTTACTTTAGGGGCAAGAATCCAGCAAAGTCCTCTGCTGCATCAAGCTCTCATCCTCTAGTGTTCTCACCACAACTCCACGACTATTCTTGATCCAAAACATAGCATAAAAATGGCAAGAATGGTGCTTTCCTTTGAATGGGGACAGCAACTATATTCCTGTTGGATCTCTGAGCAGCAGCAACAGCAGGTTCTGTTATATTATGAGAAGCTGAAGGATGGTGCTGTGATATTGTGCTTGGAAATTTGGAGAAGTAATTGATAAGCCCCTGGAAGAATGAACTGGCAAGTTCCCGAGGATAGGATGGAGATAAAGAGTAGGTACAGCTACGCAGGAATGAATTATCAAGGATACAGCTAAATAAAAATGAATTATCAACTGAGCTAATGGAATAGAAAAAGAAACTGCTATCCCACTGATCCTGTGTGGAGGTCACCTTGGCTTTCCACTTGCACATGAATATTCACTGACTAGGAATTGATCCGTCCTTAATCTAGATTTATTTACAATGAGAGCCTTGCCATTTCTTACAAATGACACACATTAGCTCATCACATAGAATATAGTGAAGGCTGAAGATGTATCCGATGGTCCTGTGCCTCCTTGAAAGCAGTTTTCTAATTCTGAAAATGAGTCTGTGTGTCAGTATTAGAGAATGGTTTCTTCCCAGTAAACAACAATAAAACAATCAAGCAAATCATCTGCATTCTCTCCTCTCACTGCCAGTCAAAATTTAAGAACCAGCTATGATTGCTGCATTTATATGTTTTATCAGGAGATCCAGGCTTGAATCTAACCCTTGTTATAGCAATGATACTAATTCAGTCAAGGAGGATATGCAATTAGGTGATGTACCTGCATTTCTCTCCCTCTGCTCCCAGCCTTCCTAGATCTTCCCCTCCTCCCCCCCCCAAAAAAAAAAAAAATTTAAAAAAATGAAACAAACCATGTATCTTTCCCATATACTAACTCATACAGCGTCGTCCCATTGACTTGAATGTGGAGTTATTCCAAATCTTTGTGACCATAAGGAAGAATGGAAGCCATGCCACCACTACAAGTACCTACTTACTAAACACATGGCTCGATGATTTAACACAAAGAGGGATTTACAAAAACATTTGTCCTGGGTCTGCCTCAAAAACCCTACTCACAGATTACATTCATACAATGATTCAAAAACATTCAGGGATTAAAAAAAAAAAGGAGAACAAGTGTTTAGCTTGGATTTGTCTTTTAAAGCACATGGCAAAAATGTAGGAGAGCAAAGGCCTGCTGCTGGTGGGGAATCCCTCGGCTGCCTTTGCCTTGCCTGTACTGGCCCCTTCCAACCCCTACGACTCTGTGATTCTGTGTTTTCAGCTCATTACCTACACCGCAGCTACACACAGAGTTGGTTCAGACACATCTTTAAGTGAAAACTCAGTTTAAATTTCCAAGTAGCATCTCTTCAATTCAGCATAACATTTTGGCTTCTAACCATAAAAACAGAAGCTTTCTCCATTTTTTTTAACCTGTTGTGATTTCCAGGACTTTTTGCTACCTCTCTTCCTACTTCTTCCCCAGTCACAAAGCACAGAGACAGAATGCACAGAGTGTCATCTAAATCTCTCGTGCTCCCAGGACAACGGCACTGCAATCACAGAAGTTAATTCAGACTTTTACTGATGAAATTGGAACTGGACCCTCGATGTTCTTCAGAGTACCATTAATGCTTTACATCCCCAAAAAGTATCATCTCCAAAGTCTGTAAGTATGACTCCTCTGTCCCAGTTCCAAGGTCTTCTCCAACAAATACCCAGACCGGGTTGTGTGAAATGAGCTCTGCAGTCTAGGGTAATTCCAACAACTGCATGGAATTTACTTTTCCCAGGTTTATAGCACCTAACCAGGGCCCAACAGGTACTGTACCTCCCAGTCCAGAACGGAGGCCTGCCATTGAGCTATCTTGTCAATGTTCTCCAGTCTCCGCTTCCGCTCGTTGATCTGTAGAGTCATGTTCCTCATGACGGCAAGAGCAGCAGCCACATACCTGTAGTCACTGTCAAACACAAAACAGAAGTCCATGAAATAGAGCAAACAGAGCCTGATGTGCAGTGGAAACTTTCAGCAGTCTATCATCACCAGCAGCAAAATCTCACCATCCTTTCAGAAAGAAATGAAGGGAGGATTTGCCACTCAGCATTATGTATTTTTTTTTCCAACTCCAATGTCTTTCTGGATCATCGAAGAAAAAAAAAAAAAAAAAAAAAAGCAGCTGGCTTACAACCCAAATAGTGTGTGCATGAGTCAGAGAAGGCCACAGCTTCTCACGTGGTTTGCATTGAGGGAGCCCCACTGGGAAGGGTCTGCCCTCTACCACCCCAACCTACAACTGCTGTGGCTATCACTCTTTGAAGTCTTAAGGTGCTTGCTAAAGCACATCCTAAAAGAAAGCCTGAACATTTTTATGGCCTGTCTCTGGGCCTGGATTTTTATGTTTTTAAAATGAATATTAGAAAATATTTTTTGATTAGACATCAGCCAGAGCCTCTTCCAAGCTATAAGGTGATTCCAAGAGTGCCCCAGAGCATAATCCAGTGGCATTCACTCATACTGCAGACTTCAGGTGAGCAAATCAAAAGAATTCTTTTTATTTTTTTTTCCCCTGGACAGGCCTGTGAGTGTAATAACACAGAGTGAAAATAGCTTCCCGCCAGGGCCAGCAAAGATGATGATCAGTCTTTTCAAAAAGTGATGGCGAAATCAATGCTATTGATTTCCACCCTGTGCCTTCTTTTCCATTCCAGGGAACCTTAATGTTCATTTTAATCGGAAAGACAGACAAGGCCAGCTGCCATAATGCCACTGTAATTTATTAGTAACTTAAGGGCTGATATTGACTGCTGACTAATGAGAAAAACTGTGATCTTGGGCAGCTGCAGGGAGAATGGCTTTATTGATTATTGCTAAAGGATTGCACAGGTGACAGCTAAAATAGGGGTGAGTGCTGTGAATTAGAGTGGATCTTTAGGTCCATTTCCCCGTTTGATCCATACAGGATAAATATTAAGAAACATTCGCAATACAATATACAACAGAACATTATTTGCTATTTTGCCTTCCTTTCTTGGATGAAATCTTGAGATCCGTTTTCAATTTTTATTCAATTCTCATGTCAAACTTCTAGCTGGGCTTAAAATAAATCCTACAAAATTCCAAAGCATCACGGCTGGTCCTTCAACAAAGTGAGAGAGAATAGAGGATGGGCTGACATACACAGCCTGATCCACAGAGAAGGATTTCTTGCAAGGGAGGCTAATGTCAGTCCACCCGTTAGCAGAGTCTCCATCTCGTAACGTGTTCACACACTCCTAATTCCAGCTCCAATCTGCAGCAGGAGCGCTCAGGACACCAACAAGCTGCACTTAGGACCTTTATATATTTACTTCATATTAAACTGGTGTAAATCTTTAGGAGGTGAACAGATGTGGCTTTGTGAAAAATTCAAATGAAGCAGCCTCAAAACAATGAGCAATTGAAGGGAGCCAGGCTTTGAAAACACCCTCATGCCTGCCTCCATGTGGAGTGGGCCAATGCCAATCAAGCTGGGTTTTATCTTGGTAATGCTAATTCACTAATTCTAATGTTCTGTTTGAAGAGAAAACCCCATGCACATTTTTCATTCACACAGTACTGAAGAAAGAGGCATGCCTGAACTTTTTTTGGGCTCCTAGCCCATGTCTGCGGCAGAGCTGGCAAAAACTTTGAAGAAAAAAATAACAGAAGCAAAGCATTTGGCCAGTGCATTAATAATAGGATAACATTAACTATGAAATTAAGGTAAGGAAATTGCTGATTACTTTGGGGATGCAGTGACCTCTTTCCAGGGCTCGGTCAGGATGCAACCCTAGACTTTTGCCTAACTTCACATGCTAACTTGAGGGAGAGTGGTCAGGTTTCTGATTTCAGCACTGTTGTCCTGAACTGGTACAGGGAAGATACACAAGCACATACTAGTGAAGAGGAGGTAGCAAAGAAAAAGAATATCATGTCCCACTCTTAGATGAAGCTAGCAATTACTTTCATTGGGACTCAGGGCTCTTCCTGAGGTTTGCCTTACTCTGTAAATGGTGCAATTGATTTAAACAGTGTTTTCTACATAGCAAAATTCTAATCAGAGTGCCTAAGAGACTCCTAATCCAGCCAGCGACGGGCCTGATTTCATTGTATTAGTTCACTAATTAGTCCAACAGAAAATTATTCTAGCTTCTGTTTCAGACTCGCAATCGAATTACAAGCACTGTCAAACTGCAAGTGCATGAGGACAGCTCACCACCTGATTAAGGAGCCCAGCTGAAGCTCCCCAGTTGGCTTCTTGGTTTCCATGGTTCATCACTGTCACTGACAGTACCCCAGCCTGCAGGTAGCTGGCTTTTCCCTGTCTGGTATTGCCACAACGTGACGTTCCCCAAAGATTACTTGCTGTTCTCCTCAGACTTCGCTCATCTCACCTCCAACCCCAAAGGAAGCAGAAAATATTCGTATTTCAAGAGGTACTGGGGCAGCCTGGGTTTTCTGCACAGCCCTGCCGTGGAGGCATCTGGTGCTGAGACACGCTCCCTGCGCATCACTTTCCCTGCTCGTGGCACAAAGCGGTCTGGGCCGCGAGCTGGGCTGCCTGGAGGTCGCTCCCAGGCTCCTTGAACGCAGGAATTGGAGGAGCCAGACCACAGGATGGTGTGGTGCAACCCACCGCGTTCCTGTGTCACAACGCCATTCCGCCACAAGTCAGGAAGTTCTCTGGGGCATGCCCACGCTAACCAAGGCACAGCATTTTGCTGGCTCTGTGCAGCCACAGGCTCCCCACGTGTGCTGTGTCACAGCTCCAGGGGGCTTACGCTTCACTAATGCAAGGCAAACAAGCCTGCTTTTCCTTTTCAGAAAATGAAGGAAAAAGAGACATGAAGCATCCATAGCTGTGTCCTGTCACGGGCACAATCCAGTAAAAAAGAGCTCTCGGTCTGAATCAACGAGTTGTTGCTTAATGGCAGGAAAGCACTGAGTCTCCACGGAATATGACTCTGTCTGATCACTTAAACACATGCCGATTTTAAAACATCCCAAAGGAATGCACTCTTCCAAATAATTTACCCTTGTGTAATCACACTGTCCACATACCCTTCGGTATTGCTACCAAACAATTCAGAGAAGGTCACTTGAAGCACAGACCTCCTCTCCCCGAGGCTGCTAGCAGCTCCCCCTTGTAAAGCCAGGCATCCAAGTTCACCCTAAGTACTGTGGGGACACCACATGGCTGGTGAGCAAAAGAAGCCACAATGTTTGGGATCCTAGAGCTGGTTTCTGATACCCCGACATTCCCATGAGTCCACTCCAAGTTTGATTTGGCCACGCAAGGAAAGGAAAGAAGAAGTTGGATCGGGAGCCAAATGCATATCAAAATTGGTGATTTTTAACCGTGTGTTCAGCTAGCATCAATCAGTGATACTGGTGAACCAGGTCATCGCAAACGAATGTACCTCTACTCGTGTCACTTTTCTCTGCACTTCCAGAGCTGGTTTTGGGAAACAAAAACAAAAAATCAAACAATTGCAGAAGTTTCTGAAACCTTTGTGGTCTTTTTTGTTTTTTTTTTTTCCCTTCTAAACTACTTCATTTTAAAAAGGGTTTTGGAAAAAGAAAGAAAACTGACACAGTAGAGGATAATCTGTTCTTAGGGGCCTCATTCTTCTTTCACCTACCATAACTGATACCATAAGTACTATTCTCGATTCACACTAGGTCAGGTAATTAGACTGATTGCCCTCATCAGAAGCAAAAGAGATCCATAAAATTCTGGGGAAGATATCAAACTGCCAGGTGCTCCTCTGATCCTAAAAACCCAGTGGCAAAATCAGAGATGGAATGAGGCTGAAAAGCAGAACGGGCTCTGAATTTCCCCGGGATCTGAGCATAGGCAGGTTTGAGCTGCAGATGTGGCCCTCCACCCACTACATGCTGAGGTCCTCTCTAGGATAAAGGAATAAGCCTTTCTGACCACTGACTGCTAATTAAGTAATTTTTCTAGTGTAACCAGCAGCATCATAAAGTACATCCAAGGGTAATTAGTTCGCGTCTGATTACAAGAGAGATGAGTTTGGCTCCACTGAGAATCGGTGCTTTGAGAAGCTTTCTAGATATCTGCTGAACCTTTGCCCTGCTTCAATTTCCACAAGATGTCATTAAGAGAAGAGCTGGACAGACATAAAAACATCCCCCGTGTGCATTAAGAGGCCACGTAGAAAAGCAGTGAGCAAAACCCCTTTGTGTAACAAGAGCATCCCCCTACCTGTGATCCTGTGCAGTGTACTTGAGGAGCTCTGCGAGCTGCAGGGGGTATTTGCAAATCTTCTGCACTGGCGTCAGAAGGAAACCGTCGATGGCAATATTAATCATCTGCTGCAACAGACGACACGCTTCGAAGAAATTCTGGTACCTGCTGTCTTTCATCAGCTTGGAAAGCTCCATGCATGCATCCAAATGGTTGTTACAGTACTCCGAGTAGATCCAGAAGCCATCTTGCTGTGAAAGGCAGGAGGGAAGGGAGCGCACGTCAGACAGGCGCCACGAGCAGGCCGTCACCCCACCTGCCAACGTGATGGCTAAAGAAAAAGGGACACCCCAACAGGAGGAGGGAGGATCCCCAAGTCCTCTTCCTGCTCAGAGAAGGTGCTGCACGGTTGCTGCATGGGCAGCAGGGAGGCAGAGAGGGGCCAAGTCCTGCACAGTGCTGAGGTCCCTATAGGTCCCGGCTGTGGTAAAGGAAACCCCTGTGGGTGTTCTCAGCTTCAAATCGACTGCTGAGATTTTTCTTTGTGACAGGTAAAGGTAGAACCAAGTCACGGCTCAGGCCTTTGGTAATACCAGAGAATCTCATCATTTCTAGAGCTCTTTCCTCGAGAGATCACAAAGCACCTGAAAAGTGCTTGGGAGCTGAGTAGTTTTGAACACCCCTTTACCAACAGGGAACCCCAGGAACCAACTACTGTGCAGATTTCCCCAGAGCCAGTAAACACCAAAGACTGGAAAAACAAACACCTTGCACGTGCGTGCCCAGCCACCCTTGGCAGTGCTTAACCAGGCTTTTTGTACTAGTTGGGCTGGAGTCTCCATTTCCTGCCTTCACTGACCACAGATGGTCCCCAAATGCCACGCAGACACCCCAAATGAAAGGTGTAAGAAGGATCACGCTGGAAGGAAGAGGCAGAAACAAACGGGCTGCCACACTGAAGTCTGTGGTTCAGACAGCCCTGATATAAGGCCAAGGAAAGGCAGGCTGTAACGTGCCTTTCTGGGAACAGGGGAGCCTGCTTTCCTCCCCAGCCCTGTGGCCAACCAAGAGCCAAGCACCGATGCCTCTCTCCTGCTGAAGTGGGTGAGGAAGGAGCTGGCAGGCCCAAACAACAGGATCTTAATGTCCTCATCCCTCAGTTTCCCCCAATGGCTAAACAGGGATAATTTATCAGGAGTTTATTAGCCAGCTTTCAACACCTACGGAAATGATGACAGCGATGTCAGGTATTCCTCCCAGTAACAGCAGTAGTAACTTTTACTTACTGTTACTGTAAAAGAATTGACAGCACAGCCTTAGGACATGCAGTTTTAGCTACTGCTTCTCACCAAGATTTCATATTTTTCTTTTGCACAAAGGTGCAATACGCTGTGTGCTTTGGAAGCAAGCAGCAGAGGTTGCAGGCTCTGATAAAAGCGAGCCATGTTAATGCCATAATGCAATTTCTCAGGAATCAGCTTGCTTTTTAATTAGAAGACCAGTGATGCTTAAGAGATGCTGCAAACCTTTTCAGGGGTGCCCCACTGAAGTTTCATGACTGTCTGCTGGAAATTTCTCTGGCCAGTGAGCTGGGGCTAGCTGGACCTGGCTGTAAGCACAGGACCTGAGTCCTGGGTCGGAGCACCCCGTGTGTAAGCTGACGCAGCACTTCAGTCTCCGTAAAGGAAAGCCTAAAACTGCAGGACCATAATTTCCCTGACACTTCCTGACACACTTCCAGCACTGCCCAATTTATCAGCTTCTGTAACACGTGGCTTATGTAACAGCACAAGGGGCTGGCCCGAAGCCTCCAGGAGTGCATCGTCAGCTGGAATGTCCTGCTCGGGGTGCACTCAGCAGGGACGAGCTCTCTGCCACCCTGCTGCCACCTCGCACCTGGCCCTGCAGGTGAAGGCATCTGAAGCTCCGTGGGTTTTTCATCCCTTGCAAATGCAGCTCAGTGCCACAGCGAACAGCTGAGGCACTTGCTCTCCTCTGCTTGCTTTGTGTAACACACAACTAATGCCTCTTCTTACTCCTCCAGACTGCCCTACTTATTCCAACCTTCTGGTCATCCGTGATCTGATGAGGATGGCTCATGAGTGGATTTAAGACGTATTTTGAGGAGAAAAAGAAGGTAGGGGGTATGTGAGGGACCTTGTGCCTACATAACACATGTGAGGGAGGATGTGAAAAGTTTTTGGGATTCAGATGCTCTGGGGCAGTACCCAACTATATACTTCACTGAGCTCTCCCTGCAGCTGTACCTCCCAACGTGGATACAGTGCCTGTGGAGGAGCCCGTGGTGTGTAACTGGAACAGAACAGAACTGATGAACACAAGCTAGATTCTGAGTGGTTCCTGCCTTCTGGCTTCTGCTACATCCCCACTGCACCCACCATAAAACAAAAAACAAAAATTGCCAAATGGACTTACGTGTTCAAGGAAACACGGTCCAATTTCACTGAGATGGGGATCTTCTTTGTTGTACTGTTTCTCCAAATCCCGGACAAAACCCATCTGAAATCTATAGATATCTTCAATGTTACCAAAGATGATCTTTAGCTGTTCATCGTTGAACATATCCCGTCTCTTCCGGCATTGCTTCAAGTAACCCTGTAAGAAGCAAGACAGAGCAATCCATAAAATAACCCAAACGCTTTTACTGAAGCAGCTCCCAAGTTTTTCTTGAGGACGGAGTAAGTGAAAACAGAACCAGAAAACATCTCTGAAAACAAAATCCACTTTTAAAGGAACCAGAAAACATCTCTGAAAACAAAATCCACTTTTAAAGCATGACAGTCTCCATCAGCTGCTCTCTACAAGTAAGCGTGCAATAGGGAAAACAGGCTTCAAAAACCTCTAGGTCCATTTTTGACAGACAATATTTCATTTACAACATTTGGCACTTGCAAGCACTGCTCCCACTGCAACCTGCAGCAGACCACAGCGCTACCCTCGCTCAGGACACACCAGCCCCAGCATGTACCAGGCTTTACAGCCCACACCAGACAGTGCTGGAGACAGCGCGTGTACAGGAGAGCAGTGCAGAGGGGGAACAGCGCCTCGATGTCCTTCAGCATTCTGCATGAATCAGTTTTGCAGAGGGAAAGTTCCCCAGAGATCTCAGGCAGTACAGCCTGAAACTGCCGTGTCCCTGCTTGTGCTGCAGAGCACAGCACCATTTGGCTGATGGCTCAGAGAGGTGTGTTACAGCACCGTACGCCTGGTCCTTCAAAACTCCCTGCCTCGCACTACCCAGTATCAGGGGCAGCTCCTGCGAACATCGCTCTTGCAGCTTTCCCTGACCTGGAGGCAGCATGGTTTGTCCCACACCTGAGACAAAAGCAAGAGGGCTCCTGTCCTGCTGGCCTCCCGGCAGGGAACCCCAAAAGCAGTGCAGGAGGTTGGGGGTGTTTCGGCTCACCCGATCGAGGGAGCAGCACGAGCTGCATCAATGCCATCTAGAGGAAAGCAGCATCGTTCTCATTTATGTTTCCTCTATCCTTCATGAGATTACTCCAAATACACTATTCCAAAGAGCTAAAATGTGAAAATTTTGTCCTGTTTTCTCAGCTACCATCTCTTCTTCCTCGGTTAAGTGGGAACAGAGGAACAGGCTTCGTGTCCTGCTTTGTACAAACATCAGGCTCACTCACTGAGCCTACAGACATGAAAGGTAAACGGAGAGAGAGGAAGAACTGGCATGTAGAGAGCTTACAGAAACTCTCCAAAATCACAGAAGGAATCTGCAGTAGAGCTGGCAGCAGTTCAGGTCTCCTGCATCCTGACCCAGCGCAATAACAAAAAGGTCCCTCTTCATCTTCATCTGCCCGTGTTACCCAGTGGTGCTGAGCCCAAGTTTAGCTGGACAGCACACAAACAACTCAGCAAGGAAGCACTGCTCCAAAGACCTCCTGACCTAAAAAGACGGGGCAGATCAATATCCTGGCAAAAAGAAAACACACCACCCCAATCCCTGTCTGCGTTCCTGTTTTGCTGGCCCTGCCTCGTCCACGAACTCACCGTCCTGGTTTTGGCTGAATCACGAAGCCTTCAGACACTGAAATACATGTGGTGAGGGGATGGGGTGTCACGCGGAGGTTCGGGGTGCCTGGGCTGAATTTCTGACCCTGCCACCGATCTGGGTGATGCTGAGCAAATCACTTCAACCCCCCGTGCCTCGCCTGTCTGGATGATTAAGACTAGAAACTTTGCAAGGCTAAATATCAAACGCTGTGCTGGCCTCTTCTGCACCGCGGCCTCTTGACTGAAAACAGAATAATATGGGGGTCATCAGGAGATGACTTTGCCTTTATTATATAGGGAGAGGAAGACAAAAAAAAAAAGAAGGGAAAACTGCCAACAGCTCCAGTTGAATGGCTATATTTGGGAGCTCTAGATGCTTAGTCACACAGACGAACCGCCAGCTGGTGACACGCAGCTGCTGGCCCACAATGCGAGCCATTGGGACGCTATAATAAGCTGTCCTTCAGCCTCACCATGTGGTTCCTGGGAGGGAGAACTTCAGGCAGATGAATGATAAATGCAACTTTGGCCGACCTGGCACAGAACCAGCCTCTGCGATGTCCAGCTTAGCTAGAAGGATGCCATTACCCCGAAGGTGCCTGCTTTTTCAGCTGGGAAGCTTGGGTTATGGAACACCTTCCACGTTTACCAAATCTAGGTCTCCCTTCTTCCAAGAAGCTCCTCGATGACTCAATTCTCTGGGTTTCCCTCTCTCATTTTTAAGGCCAGAAGGAATGGGAACAGGCTGGTTCCCAGGCTATAGGACAGTCGAAGGGCAAATAAAAACACAAACCATCACGGAACAACGCACCTATTGCTTTTTGTGTTTACCTGCTTGTCTCAGAACAGCTACAAAAAATTAAAAAATAAAATAAATAAAAGACGTGGACCTGCCCACAAGGCCAGGCTCTTCTTTTTGAAGCTGGCTGCAGCGCGAGCAGTGCCGAGTGAGTGCTGCAAGGTGGCTGCCTGCAAGCCAGGCTCCCCTCGCACACACACAGCTCTGAGCCATCAGGCAGTGGATGATTTATGTGAACAACTTCCAGCCCTGGGGTTGCTGTTGGCTGCAGCTACCGTCGTGAATATTCCCCGTCCTCTGTGTGCTGGTTCATCACTTTGCCTAAATCACGTGCTCCTGAGCAGCTGAAGCAGCACGTTTCTGCACAGGCACCTATGAAACCACAGGGAGAATTACCGAACGCATGGAATTCCCAACGCTTCTCCCCTCTCCAATTTGTGCATTTTGATGGTTGGTTTCCAGCAAAGGGGAGACTGCAGATTTACAGATAACACGCAGCAAGCGCCAGCTAGAAGGCTGCTGCATATTTTTTCCGGTAAATTTACTTCTGTTACATAAAACAACGTCATCTTCCTCCTGCTCATCCCATCAGGTCTGCTCAGAGGAGGGATAGCTGACTGATGAGCAGATGTTGGAGAGCATTTTGTTCAATGAATACCTAAAAATAGCTGTCAAACTGGCTCCCTTTAAAGTACATTTCCATGTAGTCCCTGAGGTAAAGGCCAAAGTTGGAAAGTATCTGCAGGAGGTTAAGTGCTAAGTTTTCTCCACCCCAGAATGGGTTTAGAGACAGTCAGGAGAGGTGGCCAATCCTTCCATCCTTCTTCTCGTCCTGCTGAGAGCACGGTGAGATGCTCTCAGCAAGAATGCTCTCAGCATGAGGAGATGAGAGCTGCTGCAGGCTCTGAGTGAAAAGGCAGTGGTGGTGATATTCCCATTTCCTTCCATCTCTGAGCCACGCTGGGGAGACCCTGCCCTGTAGACTACCCTCCAGGTTGGACCAGTACCATCTGGGCTAGCAAAATCCTGATCTCCTGAACAGCAAGGACTGAACATCAGGGACGGATCCGTGCATCAGTCCTGCTCCTCTCCCCACCAGCACCACTCATTTTTTGGATGCAGACTGTCACTGCCCTGGGACCCACCTAAAATGTGTAATGAAGTCCATCAGGAACACAAGCCGGTTCCTCAGAAGGGCACAGAAGAAGCCAACCCCGAAACAGAAGAAGCACAGGAAAGCTTGTCCCAGCTCTGCACAACAGAGCCACTCTGACCGGCTAAGATGCAGTGAGGATGGTTGCTCCTCACCATTCAGAGCTGTCCTGGCACCAGAGCAAAGTTTAGGTGGAATCCAGACAACATTATTAAAAAATAAATTCAAAGTGAAATTAGTTGGAAAAGAGGAAAAACACAGCACTGGAAGTTGGCTGCCCTTCCTCCCCTCCCACCCCCAGATCACTCAGAATACAGAGGTTTCCTTTGATCTCCCAACTGCTTCTCTGTTCCCATCCCTTACATCAAGCCTCATCTCCTAATCCACGTCCTGGTCCCAATCTGCTGCTCCCCAAAGCACACCACCCTGCTCTTCGTGTGACCAAAGCCCCGGGGCAGGGGACGTATTTTCATGCCTGGGGATGGCCACACGTACCTACGGAGCTTTACTGGCGAGGCTGTGCCAGTGAGGCTGGCTGCTGCTCACCATTACGACAGCCTAGTTTTCAGCAGCTGATTATTTTTCTAACCTCTAACTGCTAAGCCTGAATTTCCTAGCGCTGGATGTTTCCCTGAGGCTAAATTCTTTTTTCTTCCTTTTCCCCTTGGTGATATTTCAGAATAACGATCCGTCAGCTCCCCATAACGCAGGCCAGGGAACGCTCAGCATTTTGCCCCTAATAAAAATCTTCGCCAACCCGTTCCACCGAGCAGCAGCCAGCCCTTCACACTCAAACAAGGGCGCAGCAGCAGCTGCTGGTGCTGTATGGCTTTGCTGAGCAGGGGGATTCCCCCAGCCTCCGAGCCAGCTGCATCGCGCAGGTAATTTTCATGCTGGTGCTGGCTAGCTTGTGAGCTCCTGACTCGGCAGGGCTGGTGCCACGGGTGTTATAAATAATAACACGGTGTTTAAGAACATAATAGCAGGTACTAGGCACACGTCCTACAACAGAAAAGAGCCGTCAGAGGGCTCTCGTTACCTCACAGGGGCTACGGTCCTCCGAGAACGACCCCATATCTTAAGGTGCCACAATGAACAAGTCCTAATGCCAGTGAAACTCAGCAACAAGAGCAAAACTGCACTGCTGAACCCAGCTCTGAATCAGGCCCAGCCCTCAGCACCCACCCACATCTCCTGGAGCCCTGGGAGCAGCTTGTGCCAGCCCGGGTCTCCTCTGCAGAGGAGAATGCCCATTTGGGTCCTCCTCCTTTTTTAAGCGAGGCAGCTGAATCATTTCCTGATGCTCTACCTGACAGGAAGATTTATCCCTCAAGACTGTTTCGTATCCCACAGATCTCTCCCACATATTGGGCATATCGCTGGGTGCTGTAAATCAGTGTTACTCCGCGGATGTCACTGAAACTATACCTATCTGCACCTCCGGAGAAGCTGATTTAGCAGCAGCCCGGTGACACGACTGGCAAATGCAAGTTCAGATTTATTTTGTTGTTCAACAGAAAAGTGCAAATGCAGGAAAAGAAACACCACGTGGAAAAGTTCCTGCAGTTCTTCCCTTCTTCAGCGCAAAGCCCTCTGACTGAAATAGCACGCTGAAATTAAGCTCATTTGTTTCCAGATTGAAATCCCAAGATTCTTCCATATTTGAACAGCATCACGGAGGTTTTTTTGGATGGCTGCTCTGCCTTGTCAATAGAAAAGTGGCAAGTATGAAGGGAGGATGAAGACATTTGCTAAGCAGTATTCACAAAGGGCTTCAGCACATTGGCTCTGGGAAGAGAGAGCCCAGGCTCACAGCCCCCTAAACACTCCGAGGGACGAGCTGAAAGCCCTGGACCTTGATTTTAGTGCTAAGGAACTTCTGCCTCTCCGTAAGACGGATGCACAGTGCCCGAGCTGTCCCGCAGCACACTGACAGAGCTGTACGGTCTCCTTCCCAAACACCCCACGCACTTCAGGAACAGCTCGGGGCCCCGAGGCTGCAGGCCAGTCAGGAGCTGGGGGCGTTAATTGGACGTAATGAGGAAGAACCAAGTGGAGGATGTGAGGGGGCAGTCATCAACATGCATTTGCTTGCAGTTTCCCTTATGCTATGCAAATGTAATGTACCTCAGTTTCCCACGGTGAGATCATTCTGCTCACTGGAAGAGAAGGCAAATGGAAGCCCCCCCGAGCAAGGGGAAATTGTGAACCCAATGTGAAAGACACAGGTGGAATGGCTAACTGATTGCTTTAATTACAACCTAATTTCCTTAGCCACAAGTTCAAAAGTAGACGGCGATGGGTTTTAATTAAGAGAAATGCTTGAAAGATCTCAACCTCATAATTTTTCAGTCAAAGTGATACAGAAAAAAAGATCAGAAAATTGTATTTTTGGTTAATACGACCTAAAGCTAATTAGCAGCTCCAGTAGAAAATACTCAGAAGTATCAATACTTATTGACGGATGCTGCTCCTCAATTACACACACTCCTAATAAACACAGTGTGACTTTTCCCCCGTCACCCCAGGGCAAACTCCGTCCTCAGCTCTCAGCAGCCCATCGTGCGTCCTGCAGGGTCCCCAGCGCCACAACCCCACGTACCTCGCAGATGTCCTTGAGGTGCTTGATGTAGTGGCGCTCCGTGTTCATGATCTCGTTGATGACGTTGGCTCTCATCTGGTCTCGGTTTTGGACGGTCCGGCCGAGGCAGAGGCAGTCGGCGTTGGGATCCAAGTGGCCGTTCTGCACGTCGCTGGTTCCCTCCTCCACGCCATCTTCTTGATTCACCCAGAGCTGTGAGGGGGAGAGGGGAGAGCAACAAGCTGAATCGTAAATCCATCAGGAAGCCAGCGAAGGAAGAGAGGCTGGGTGATGGTAATCGTGATCATATGATAGTACGGCCTGGGACCTTTCCAGCTGACTGATTTACGAAGGACGAGATATGGCTGGGTCAGAAATCTGAATGAATCTGAACATCGGCTCAGGCTCACTGGGTTGCGGCACTGAGGTTTTTGCAAACTTCCCAGGCCAGGATTTGTGAATGAGCATTGATTTTCATTTCACAGCAGCTTTCCCCATCATTTCACATGAAGAGCCATTCTCGCTCAGGCAAACGCCCTGCCTCAGCATCCTGAGATTATGATCCCACCCCGCGCTGAGCTCAGACGGGGCCGTTCCTTGGCAGAATAAATCTCCGAACGGGTCTGAGGGCAGGTTTGGACTGGGAGCCCAGCACACCCCTGGGCACTGAACCCTTCGAATGGCAGCGAATTGCTGAATGCGATGAAAAAACGGATCTCTGCCTTTTCAGCACACTGAATTTCCATCCCCAAATACAGAACATCCATTGAACCTGTAAGCTAAAAGCTAGCGCTGACTCCTCGTCTCTGTCTTTGAGCGTAGCATATGGATCAAATGCTTCCCTTTGTTATCTCTTCCCCAAAATAAAATCTGCTTAAAGTGACTCTCACAAACTCAAATTGGGCTCAGCACAGTTTGTAAATGAACATTACATAAAGGCGAAAACACAGAAATAGTGCTGGCTTACAAATATCATCTCCGTTGTTATATAAACGAAGCAAGTTTTCGTCTTGGCATTTAAAGACCAAAATACCAGAGACCTTGAAACATAAAAATACATCTACCTGTAAACAGCGAAACCGTCCCCACAGACAGGCACAAGGGAAACAAGCTGCAGAGTTAGCCGGATCTTTTCTTCTTCTTTTGACTGTTAACAGTTTTTAGGAATTTCCCATTTTTCAGCTTAATTCCCATTTTAAACACCTTCATTGTGTGCCTGTGCAGACTGTGTTCCTGCAAATTAGTAAAGGGGAAAAAAAAACCTAGCCCTTCCCACGCTCCTTCCCTGTTTTCCTAACCAATTATTATGTTTAGCTAAGCCACATCGCCCCTTATTACAGCTCCCACATTTTGTCTTCCTACAGTGAGCCGCACAGGCCAAGAAGCCGAGGTGTTTGCAGAAAACACATCTCGAGCAGAATGTTAATGATGCCATTAACTTACGAAAGACAAAAAAAAAAAAGCTATAAAAAGCCTGACTGTTCACCCGGGTCGTGTTTGTGCCGTGTCCAGGAGCTACCAGGGACTTTGCACGCGGGGCGTGACGGTGACAAGATGAGCAGGGGCCACGTCCTGCCTGCTCTGTCCACCTGGGACCTCGTCCTGCCCGTGGGACAGCCTTTCAGCAACCCCCAGCCTTCGGACCTTTCCCCAGGACAGCCCAGCCAGGCGTCAGTTTAATGTCCCGTGTGACAGGGCAGAAGCTGGCAGCTCTGGTTTTCCGCGCCTGGATGAGCCCCGGGGGAAGAGGAGCACCACGACACCGGGCGCGGAGGCACCCAGGGTGTCCCCAAAAAAAAAAATCTTTGTAAAAGGGGAAAAAAAAAACTTGAAAGCAGGAATCCTACAGGTTTTGAAGCTCGCAGGCAAACAGCAAGCTTGCAAACTTGGACGGTTTGTGAAAGCTGCAGGATTTGGTACGCCGGTTGGGTAGTGTGGGAGCACTCCCCGCTTCCACATCTGGGAATCTCAGGAGTCCTGCTTTTTTCTTAATGAAATTTTTGCTCTTTCCTGTTAGGATTCGTGTTCCCAAAAGGAAAAAAAATATACCGCTGCAGTCTGGATGACTCTTGTTTTGGCTTAACAGCAAACGAAACAACTTTACTGGGATGGGAGGAAGCCCGATGTGCCTTCCACCTGCGCTCTCCAGCCCCAGCTGCAGGAAGGACTAATCCCACAGCGCTGTGCAAACACGCCGGCTTTTTGTCTTAACCTCTCGAGTTCTCCCCAGCTCAAGCAAGAATCCTTCTTGCAGGGGATTATTTGAAGTTTGGAGCGTGCCTCACAGCGGACGAGGCACATTCCCAGCTCTGCTGCTGACCCTGGGCCAATCGCTTCTATCAGCTGAGGCTCTCCACATCTACAAATGGGGACGAGCTGCCTTACCTGGGACATCTTGGGAATATTCTTGAGGTTTGCAGACTTTATGAAGTGGAGGCACAGGGAAGCTTTTGCACAGTTTGAAGCATGGACCTAAACGCATCACCGTGGGCTCACCACACTCATCCATGAGCGACCGCTTGGCAGAGGGACCTTTGGCTGCTTTTACACCTTCAGCTTTGGGGTTTATGCAGCTCCCACATCCTCTCGTGCTTGCCCCATGGAGTAGCTGTGCTGTGTTTGGGCAGGGAAAATTAAACTGGGACCCCCCCAAGCCCCCAGCGGGCAGATCCTCTCTGCTTCACCGACCTGCTGGCTCAAACCCCGAGCTGCCGCGCTGCAGGCGACAGCAAGGGGCAGGAGGCAAACTGGGGGTGACACAATTTTTTCCTGGTAACTTAGTAAATGTCACACTGAGTCGATCCAGACCATACTGCTCAGGTTCCTATTTTAGCTCAGTGCACGGTCGCCGGTAGGCAGGGGGCTTTTTGGCTGGGATTTAGCCACACGCAGCTCTCCTGAAACGCCTGACCCTCCTCTGCTGCGAGCAGCCCTGAGATGGCACTAATGGAGCCAAGGCTCTCCTCTCTCCGAGCTATTTTCCAACGTGTGCTGGACACCAAGGCGCAGATTTACCTGCCTCCCAGTGAAAATGGGTCTGTTTTCTAAAAGGAACTTCAAAACTCTAGTTTTCCCTCAGTCTCACCTCATCTGCTCACTCTTCCCTGCTCCAGGGGGGTGGCTGCCCCCCTTCCCATGGAGAGGAGCTGGGGATTCAGGTCCCCGGCAGCCTGTACCTCAATTAGATCTCAAGAAGCCTCTCCAGGCTCCTGTCCTCCCCTCCTCAGCAATTAGGGGCAGTGGCTTGGAGCAGGGGGATACCAGCCTGGATTACTGCGTTCAACAGCACCTATTTTTTAGGAGAAAAATAGTGAAAATAACAGCTATTGAGCAAGCATCAACAACCCTACAATAACAAATCAGCCTTCAGTGCCTGTTTTAACACCTCTGCAATGCAAAAAAGCACAGTCTCTGAAATAATACAGCACTGTGCAGGCCTCCCCCACACTGCTGAAGAGGTTCAACGTGGAAAAAAAAAAAAAAGAAGAAGAAGAACGCTGCCAAGAGAACCATTTCAAACTCTGTGTATTGAGAATTAATTAAAAGGAACCATCAAAAAGTGCAGGAAAAAATCAAGTCGCATAATGCCAGTCCTAAGTGGTATTTCACACGGAAAGGCCACCCGAGGTGTGGGGAAGAACAGGCTTATCACGAGGCTCGCAGTCCCCAACTGCAAACTCAACCCTGATTAGGAAGTCATGACCAGGAGCAATTGGCAGAGGCAGATAAAAGTAAAATAGCCAAATAAAAAAAAAGCCCCGTTTGCCTAAGGACACGGTTCCAGGAGCCAGGGAGAGCTGATCACTTCATTGTGCTGCTTAATATTGGATGGGATTTATACAAAATCTGTAGGAAGGTGATTTATCAATTTGCAGCCATACCTAAATGGTGCAGAAAATCACCAAACGGCACCGTTCCCACATTAGCTGACCTGTAATTACTACACATCTATCCTGCCGAACGCACTCGCTGGATAGAGGACATTTTACTTGAATAGGCACTGCGGGCTGATAGTCTCATAATAAGCAGAAAGCATGCTAAAACAAACATTTTAGCAGCCATCTGGATTATTAATCTCCTTCCGCTGGAGATTCACAAGGACAGAACTAGCAGATAATGTGCCATCCTGGATTCTAGCTCACAATTAAATCATGTGTCACGTTAATGATACAGGCAGATCCTTCCAGAGAGCTGTTACCAACCCGTGGCACCTCCGCTCACCAGTGACTTCCACAACAAGTACCAGGGCATAGCCGGGCACTGAGTGGTGGTGTAAATCCTACAGCTGGAGGTGAATGTATGAGGCTGCAGTGACCCTACAGAAATCAGGACTGTCTCACCCACCTCGCCGTGCTGCCCTGGCTCCGCAGAGCTGCTGTGCTTTGCCCTCTCTCCTTCCTCCCGTGAGCTGGTGCTGTGCCCTTGTTTTCAGCCACGCGTGCTGTACTTGCTATATGCGTGCTCTGCTGGGCTCTGCACTGGATTAGCAATTTCACTTGCTCGTTTATAACCAAACGAAGCCATGGTGCAGAGCTTTGCACAGGTCAAACAATGGAGAACATCCGTCTGCACATCACCCCAGCGGTCGGGGCATGGCCTCTCCGGGCCGTTAGGGAAAAGCAGCCTTCTCCCTGCCCAGGATGAGGAATAGGACTCTTGGCCCCAAAAGGAAAGGCAGCTGAAGCCAGAGTTCTTTTTCCTCCTGTGGTGCTACTGCTGTTCTTCCTCTGCAGTCTGGCTCTAGCCTCCCTGCAGCACACGAGCTCTTTGGTACCTTCTCTTTCCCTCCTGCAACTCTCCAGCTTCAGCAAATCCACTTCAGCTCTTCCTCTTCCCCCTAAAACTCTCCATTGCCGGCCTCAGAAGTTCCCTTTGTGCAAAGGGAAGAAATATCTTTCACTCATTTCTGGAAAAGGAAAAAGCAACAGACTCTACACGGACAGCTTCGGGCTCCGTGCCCCTGAAAAATACCTCGTGTGAGGAAGGGCCCCGGTGCCTGCCTGTGAACCTCCGGGGACCCGACAGATGCTGAGCTGTCTGAGTGGCGTTCGTTGCCGTGCTGATGGCAGCTGCAATTAGCACAGGCAGTGTTTGGATGCTAAAATGCTGCTTGACTTTATAAAAAAAAAACAAAAAAAACACCACGCAATTTGTCTGCAGCGCATCCTGTCGCTGCGGAGCGCTGCTCACGCTGTGCGTGATACCTCCAGCAGAAGCTATTTTTGTGCCGGATTTGCCACAGGAGAATAAAACCTGCTTCACGAGGCACTGGCTCTGCAGCAGGCACTGCAGCACACACCGGTTTATTTGGGCAACAGGTGAACGCCGTCCTCTTTTCCCTGGGAATCCTCCCCGAGCTGCCACTTGCTGAGGAAACGCTACCGCAACGACTGCAGCGGGCTGCGAGGCACGGCAGCGATGGGCGGCTCTAGCAAGAGACCTGCACACAGCGAGGATGATTTTAGGGGGGGAACAACACCTGCAAGAGAGAGGAGTCCCAGCCCCTACGAGCACAAGCCAAACCGCCTGCCAAATAAAGAGGACTGGGGTGTAGAGCGTCCTAAAAAGTGCCTTAAAGTGCTTACACCAATTTATCCAGCACGTCTCCTTGAGCAGTACAAAATGAAGCGGGTCACAGGCAGCGTTACGGCAGGAAAATCGATCTCAAATCACAACATTTAGGGAAACCTCAGCAATGGCGAGAGCGGAGATGGAGCCTCGCTGCACTCCTGCACTTCTCCCTCGTAAGGGACCACGAGGAATTACAGCTGTGGCAGGACTGCTGCCCCTCGGCTCACAGCACCCCAGCAGTCACGAGGCTCTCCAAGAAGCTGCAGTAAAACCTCCCCAAGCCCACGTTTGCTCTTTAGCTTAGCTCGGTAAATGTAGGGAAGAGCCACCACTGCTGAAGTGCGAGGAAATAGATTCTGGAAACTCTGCCTCTTGGTATCCAAAGAGATTAAGGGGAGCTTTGTAACAAAATCAATCCCCTTCTCTGGCCGGGATAGGTGCGTTCTGCTGTGTCTGTCTCCAGGGAAAGATTTCACAGCAGTTTGAATCAGTAAGGTTTCAGTTTTAGGTTTTATTGCCAGTGGAAATACAGCAGGGCCCAAACGGGATGCCCTATCGTTTCAGGTGTCTGAAGTGTTGGGATCTCACCCCAGCCATTTTGGAGCCGTGATGTTGGGCTCTGCAACCAAAGCTTTGTTTTGAGACTTAATTTTCTGAAGGAGACCTTGAGGTACAGCAACTGATCGATCCATTTGCAGTAGTGGGGTATTGTTCTGCGCTGTGAATTCCTCTCCACAAATCCTAAGCCTATTTTTTGAGCTCACACATGGACGTAGCAGTATGCAAAACCACGGCAGCCCCAGAGCACGCGAAGACAGCCCAAGGGTGCACCATCCAAAAGGAAGGAAAGAGCAACAAGCAATATCACTGCTACAAGCATATGAAATCCTATTTAAACTTCCCACTGCGTTTTCCATCGGCACCTCCCACCCTCTCAGCCCCCTAAAAGCAGACAGGACGTTCAGGACATTCACCACTGCTTACTAAGCTCCAGACCTTACTTCTCCTACATTTGGCTTTTTCTCTTCCCAGAAAAGCATTGCTTTATCATCCCATTTCTCCTTTAAAGCTCTTGTGCTCCCAAAGCTTTGCGGCTTCCCTCTCTCCTCCTTTCTCCCTAGCCAAGTCTCCAGCTAAGAGGATAACTGCAGGCCCTGAGCACAGAGACAGCAATTCCCATAGGTGCAGGCGATTCAAATGCAGCATTTGTTTGCAGCCCCCCGCCCCCAAACCCTGCATGCAGAAGCAGCCAAGGGAATCAGCAGGTTGCTGTTTTCCTCTGCACATGCAAATGTGAATTCTGCCTGCTATGAGATTTTGTGAGTGCCAAATCCTGTGCCAAAGATTTTCATGTGATCTGGCTGGAGAGCAAGAAGCGTCAGACATCTCATTGCAAACTAGGCTTTCCAGCCCGGTTTTGTAAGCAGAAGTCATCCAAATGACTTTTAGAGGAATCTGGCTTTGCAATCATCTTCTACTGTACCCCATGTTCTTACCTATGAGTGACCTGTAGTCTAAAACATCCTGAAATTAATCCTGCTCGGTTTTATACCCGTCTGGTCTGTCCTGTCATTCCTTCCTCTAGCTGCATTTGATCCTCTGCTGTGCAACGTGCTGTTCCCTTTTCCTCCTCCTCTTGCATAAATGAAATAGAGATATAAAGGAAAGCAAATATTTTTCTTGTGCAAGTAAAACTAGAGCCACCCAGCCTAAATCGGGCAGCTTTCTGTTACCATGTCAAAAAAGCAGAGCTCAAAGTACAACGGAAAAAAAATAAGCAGCCTCCTCGTTATGATCAGATCAATAAGAAATACAAGAAAAGAACATGGAGAGGAAATCAAGTGAAAACATTTCAGGTTAACCAGTCCTCAACAGGACCCTGTAGGAGCATAAACCTGGTCCTGCAAGCAGAAGAGGGGTTACGGGTACCTGCCCTAAAGACCCCATGGCTTTGCAGGCATCTGGCTCAAATCTCTCTCCTTGTAAGTAAGGTGGAAGGGGAGGGGTGGGGAGGGAAGGAACAAGCAAGAATAGAAATGAAGAGGCAAGCGAGCGACCTCCGCCAGCGGAGGAGAGAAGATGACAGCCCAAACGCAGTCGTTTTCTCAGCACAGGACACAGCAAGCGGGGCGCTGCGTGGAGAAGGCAGCTCCGTTCTGCAAACCCGAGTGGCAAATTTCCCCCTCCAGCCTCCCCTGCAGAGCTGCGAACAAACTGTGCCAGAACTCCGCTTGCGTATTTTTTGAAATGCCTGGTGCTTATTTTTAAATATTAATTACCGTTTGTGACAACAGAACCCGGCAGTCTCCCCCTTTGGGAGCACATCCCTCAGTCCCAGGGCAGGTGTCTGGGCTCAGCCCGTGCCGAACCAGAGCCCCACAGACGGAATAACTGTGTGATGGACGGGCTGATTGTGTTGGAGTGAAGTCAAGCTGTGGGGTTGTGATGTTAGACAAAACGGGCAAGAAACCTGCCTGGAAAGGCCATCGCGATCCTAAGCACCACGGTTCATCCCAGGATGTTTTTCAGACATCTTTCCCTGCGTATCACAGTCTCAGATTCATTGACTCCTCTCCTTTGTTTTTCCAAAATCACCCTCCCAGTGCAGGGAGAGATGGAAAGTTCAGCCAAGCCAAGCGATCCATGGGTTTTGGCCTTAGAGTAAATGGACTTGTTTGTTTAGTTGTTTTGTGATTTTTTGGTGATTTTTTTTTTTTTTTAGAAAGCTGTGCAGTGCAAAACAAGGCTGTTATTAAACCTGCCATGAGCAGTACACTTACGACACTGCACAAAAACGCACATTAAATCTTTTCCCCGGAATCACAAACAAAACAGCCCTGGCAAATGCTCTGAAAAAGTTAAACTGGCCCAGAATGCTTCAGTCTCCAAGTCAAACAAAAAGAATCAGACGGATTTTTCTAAGGCAGCTTTCCCAGCGAGGAACACAGATGAGATGTGCTTGCAACACCCATGAGAATATTTTCCCCAATGAGATTATCGTCTTGATCACACCTCCTCCAAATCCATTTACCAAGCTCATTATCTCCACTGGGTGCAGGGTCAGACTCGCAGTGCCCTATTCAACAAAATACTGAAGACTATTTGTTATTCTGGCGGTTGTGCCAAGCTTTCTTATTCAGGGAGCCCAGGCTCCAGTTTCAATCCCTCACCTCTCGTTGCTCTCAGCGCTGGCCAGACCTAGGAGGGACAGGAGAGATAAAAACAAGCACCATGGGGGAAAACAAAATCGTGCACTGGGGATTGGAAGAATGCAGAAGCAAGCAAAGACCTGCGTTCCTTCATTGGTGGTCATCATGCATCACCAGGAAACACCAGGTCGTAGATTTTTAACTCCATCTTCCTAATCCGTATGGCTATCGCCCAGATGATGAGATATAATCAAACAGGGATCCTGATGATGCAGGATTGCCCGAGAGAGGAAGGATTCAGAGGAAGGGTAAGGCAGGCAGAGGACCAAAGGAAACACGGTGGCTCTTTAAGATGCGGCACTGTCTTCCTTGTGTGTTTCAGAGAAAAGTCTTCCCCTCAATGGAGCTTGTCAAATTGCCCAGGAGGCTCAAAGCAAAGATTCATCTTTCAGACAATTGCACAAGGCAAAAGAAATCTTCATTTTTGAACCATATCCCCTAAGCTCCTAAAGGAATTAAATCTCTATCGAACCCTCTGTAAAAGGGAGAGGAAAAGGAGGTGCACAAGGTCCGTGGTGATGTCTTGACTCCCCAGGGAAGTTTGAGAGAGCCCTAATAATGTTGCAGGAGCTGACAATACCTAAAAGGGCATCTGCTTGTGCTTTTGCTTTCTTAAGACATACTGAGTAAAAAAATAAAATAAAAAAATCAAGTGCTTGAATCCTTATTTGGGAAAGGCCAGGCCGCCAGTGGAGATGGCCGGCTGCAGCAAAACCTGCTTCAGTAGAAAAAGAGACAAGCCAAATTATTCCCTGCCCACTTAAAAGAATAACCAGAACTGCTCACAGACTAATTAGCAAAGAAAATTTTACATTCAAAGCAGCTGAGGAATCAGAACACAGCACTGCTTGTGGAAAGGGGGAACCTGACCCCTCCCTGTGAGCTCTCCTCAATGCAGGTCGCCCATAGCCCCCCAAAATCACCTACTCACAGCCTGCACAATACCTAACTGGATTTTCCAAGAAGAAATGCTTCAGGAAAGAGGCTACAGCATGTTCAGGCACACAAGCAAAGGCGTTCCGCATCCCAAAAGCATAAAGAAGAGCCAACACCTCTCCAAGCCTCCCTCTACCCCAGCCTCACTGCTTGCAAAGCCTTCTCTGTTCCCCATTTTTCACACAGAAAACGCAGACATGGAAAACAAGCATCAGTGGCAACAAAGACAAAAAGCAGTTCGGATCATGGACCATTTCAAGCAACGACGGCAGCAAACCACCGAAGCAGTAAGAAAAAAAGAGTTATTCACCCTTACAAAACTGGCGGGAAACCATCCTTCTTCATCATCAATCTGACCCCACCACCAGTCCTTGTTGGAAGCATCAAGAACCTTGATAACGTCTCCTGCTTTAAATGCCAACTCCCGGTTGGCCATGGTGACGTGATCCCATACTGCCTCAGCACGTACAGTAGAACCACCACTGATCAGCTGTGGAGAGAGAAAACCAACAGTCAATACAGGCCCGGTTCCCCCAAACATGCACATGCACAGAAGCAGCAGCACAGCAGAGAAGCGCTCAGCCAGAGTAAAACTTTTTCCTCCGTTCCGATCCGCAAGAGTTTCGCCGTCACATGAAGGAATAGCAAGATATAAACCTGATAAAATCGCTCCTCAGAGCACCGCACGGCTCCTGACCATGCCCCACAAGCGAGCACGTGTGCAGATGCTCGGTGACTCTCGGATCCTGGCCCTGAACATATAAAAAGCAACTCTGTGAGCCGCAGTTACGAGCACGAGCACCTGTTATCACAGTACGTGGCTGTCAGGTAGAAGTCAGCCCCAAACCAGATCGATGGTGTCCTGCAAAGGAGATTGAGCTGCAGTGCAAGTTGGCTCAGGGAAAGGTACAGCCACAGCTTCAGGCCCTGGAGGTTTTTCATGCAAAATCAGGCACAGCTTTCAAATAAATGTATTTAGAACGCCTTTTTTTTTTTTTTTTTTTGAACCAAAAGGAAGTGTAGTGTTCACCTAGCGCTGGTGATGCACTGCCCCCCCTTGCTTTTGGACATCTTCAGGCTGCTGGCAGAGCAGGGGGCACGGCGGCACCCCTGCTGGGCTGCGGCAGGCCGAAGGCAGCCCACCAGAGCCGTGTCCTCCGTCTGGTGTCCTCACCTACCCAACACGGTCACTCCAGAGCTGGCCAGCGGCACGGCGATGCCCCAACCAGCTCCCGTTTTCATTACGAGCCACCCAGTTTTACAGCAACTCCCGCTGAACGCCTGCAGGAAGGACACGTCTGCACACTGGTGCTTGTGCATCCACCAGATAAATCATCCATCCACGCCCAGGACACCCGCTGCTCCTCAGGACGCTCGTCCTTTCTCTTTTAACAGGATAATGAATTGTGTTTACGTTTCACCCGCTGCAGGAATTGGGCACCGAAGGGTCAGATTGCCCCAGCTAAATCCAGACTTTCCCCACACGCTCACTGGCTTGTCAGAGCCATCCTGAGCCACGCTCATTAATTCTGCCGCCTGAGATGCACCCGATGTGCGCTTGGGCTCGCCTCCAAAGCAGAATTGCAGCTCAACAAAGAGCGAGCTCGGCTCTGCAACCATCACAGCCCTTCCACATGGCAGGACTTTTAAGAGGCACGGATATCCTTTCAATTTCGGCAAGCAACACAAAGCATAAAAACAACGCCCCGTCACAGCGGTTATGTAAGCACAGAGGCTCTGGGAATGGTTGGAAAGCTCTTAACGGCACTTCTGTAAGTTCAGCTTATAGAAATGCCTGCTAACAACCACCTGCACGGTGAGAACTTGCAGGAAACCTTTTGGCACTGCTGCAGGGCTCTCAGCATAAACGCGTAAGAGCACTGAAGTCCCTATGGGCGATTCAGTCAACAGATTAAAGGACCTGATTTACAGTTTTCCTTGAACTGATGTTTCCTTTAAGGAATCAAGCTTCTTAGGGTTTGTGACAATTGCGGTTTCAGCTCTTCAATTATTAGAGGCAGCTTACATAAAAAAGCAGTACCTAAGTGAGACAAACTTGACACTTGGTGCCTTTCATCCTCAAAAGCCAAGATTTATCTAGTCAGCAGATTTCCCTCGTCTCAGCAGCGAGGTAAAACAACATTCTGCCCACCTCCATTTTGACAAATTGTCCTTTCAAATTCAAATTGAGCTGCAAACAAAACATGGCTCCCCCATAAAGGACTCGCTACATACAAGCCTTACCGGATAACAAGACAGAAAACAAAGGCACAGGGTAAGAACAAGCTCTCACATTAGAGTCAAGCAATGGCCAGGATGTGCTGAGCTTATTGCAGAAGGCATCTGATGTATTTGTGGGGATTCAGCTCGTGTTTGATACAGTGGGAGCTGAAGTCAGACAGTGTAGGACCAGCCCTAGGCCCTCACGTAGCAGAAGGGCAGCTGCATCTGGAAAAATAAGTTACCAAGACTGATTTCTGACTCGAATGCAACAACCCAACGTGCGACCCAGGCAGCGATGTGTTTCGGTGCTTCCTTAGAGCCCTGCATTGCTCTGCACCAAGGTTTCCAGGACACCTCCATAAGGATGAACCAGGTAAGAGCAAAGAAACCCAAGAGAGATCTGGGAGGAATGACAGACATCACAGAAAAAAAAAAAAACCTCTCGATATATTCAAGGCCTGTTAACAATCAGCCGTTCCTGCACCAGGACCGAGCTCTTCTCCTTCTCCAGCATTTCCCTTTTGGGGAAAGACCCCAGGCCTCCCTGCCCCCCGTGGCCGCCTCCCACCAGGAGCTCACTGTGACCCTGCACTCAGCTCAGCTGCCTAAATAAGATGCATTCTCTTTCTCTACAAAATCAGTTGTCTTCTCAAAAAGTAAATGAGGTTGGCCTGACACTCATTCCCTTTGTTAATGCCACTGGGTATTTTAGTCCATTTTTCACTGCGGATGAACCGGGAGCAGAGCTATTACGCAGAAGCCGCTTTCCTGCTTTTTCTGCTTCATTTCACACAGACTTCGCTGCCACTTCACACACAGGCAGATCTGGGCACGAGCTGCCACCAAAACGTCACTGAAACCAAACTTCAGAGGGACTCGAGAGCCTCCTAGCCTACTTTACAAAGCGCATTTCCAAGCCTGAGGCACAAAATCCGGGCTCGGAGGAGCGCAGAGGCCAGCGGCAGGGCTGGGAATGCCGGGGAGCGAGCTCGGCCGGTGCCTGTAGTCAGCACAGATCTGAAGGGGACGGCAGGAGCTGGAGTGGCTTTGCGAGGAGTTTCTTGACAGAAAGAGAAAAAAGGCTGAAAGCTCTTTGTTTTCTCTTCCTGGTGTCACTGGAGAAGAAAGGCGCCCTCAGCTGCTCCCCTCCAGCCCCGGTCCATGTCCTCAGCCCAGCGCGGGGATGCGCTTGCCAGGGAGCTGGCGAGCGAACCTCACCCTTCCAAAACACAAAGACAGCTCAGCCTGCAATAAAAGGACAGCGTTGGGAAGGCAGAATTTGAATTCCGGCCATCACACGTGCTGGGTCCATTGAGAGAACATCAGAGCCTAAAATTAAAAGGTCTGGTTTTTATTCTGCAAGGCATCTGGCTGCATCCGTGGAGCCGTCTGGCTATTTCAGGGCAGGGTTACAGTGACAGAACCTGACATCTGCAGCAGCAAGAGAAGATGAACAAGAGAAAGGTCAGGACAAAATTCTGAGAAAATTCAACGTAGGAACTCTTCATTCCAGAAAATTCCTACCTCTTGGTTCCAAATCCAGGTCCTAACGCTGTGGCCAGGCATACCCAGGCCAAAGACACTGCATGGGACTCATCTCCCATGCTTTCAGATGTCCACCATACAGCATCAGAGACGGTAATCTGGGCTTGGTTATAATCAGCGAAGAGAAAGAAACACATCTGGAGCATAATTCATCTCAGCTCTTTCAGTTGCCTACCTTTGAGTGAGGTGAACCATGCCCCAGAAATGGCTGCTGCTCTGTTTATTTGGGTAATGCACACGTTTACACTTCCAACGCCTTAACATTCAGCCCGTCTGCAACCTGGCCATTGCTAAAAAGTGGTGAGCAAAAGCTGGATTAAATAACGATGATCACCGTTGGCATAGCCAAAGACTTCAGCCACGCTCTCCCAGCCAGACCAGTTTCCCCCTTGCTGTTTGTGGTGAAGAAAAAACCCTCAGCGGGCAGACAACCAGAGATCAACTGAAGGGATGTTCATGAGGGACAGGAAGAAGGGAAAAAAGAGAAGGCTGTAATTATGTGCACAGCTGACACATCTCTGGAAGATACCCTGAGAACAGGGGGTATTATCGCTGCCTCACCAGGACCGTGCGCTTCAGCCTGTCCAGGGATTTTCACTACAGGTTTCCAAAACACTCTGCACAACCCCAATAACTCAGCCACAAACCCTCACTCCGCAGAAGCTTACTGAAGATGCTCCTAACACTCATGTACAACAGGTGACTGCATTCACAACAGCAAACAAAGTCAGGGGAAAGGAATTAAATTACTCCCACTTAATGTCCACGTGGATTTTGCTTTCTCTTCCAGGCTGGTTTTATTTCTAGGATGGAATGCGGCCACTGGAAATACTGAATTACATTAGAGGTGCTGCCAAAATAAAATCACAACAACAACAAACTGTAAAAAGTAAAAAATAAAATAAAGCTTCAGAGGACTCTGCGAGTCCAAAGTCACAACCAAAGGGAAGGGAGCATCGTTAAAGCCATGGAGGGAGCTTCCAAGGCAAATAAAAGAGGAGCACAAATGTGGTGTTTCAGCTCCGGAATTAGCAATATTTTTTTTCTGGCCATGGCTTTGTGGCACTGTTGTTAAGATAAAACAACTCTCACTGCCAAAACAAGCAGGAAAATGAAAGCAGAGAGAATAACAGGACAACGTCCTGCTGCACTGACATGGTGGAATCACTCTGCTTAACCCCATACAAGAGCAAAGCTGGGAGCAAACCCTTACCGTGGAGAGGGGAAGGGGGATGCCACAGAAGACCCTCCTGCAGGAGCAGATCCCTCACACCCTGCCACCCATCTTGCACTCTGATCCAAGGAGTCCAGCCCCGGGTGGTTTTCTGAAGTACCTTTCAGAAGGTGACCTCTAAACAGAGGTGTACGACTTCCTCCAGGCCACAGCGGGGTTTCCATCTGCTGGCTGTGTCGCTGCAAAAGGACTTTGCTCCAGCTCTGCAAGCTGGGGCGGCTTGGAAAGGGACCTTGGGGCATAGGTGAACCTCTGCCTCGCACCCTTCTGCTGCCTTTTGCCTGACTTTGCTCCTTCCAAAGCCGCAGCACACAGTCGAAAGCCAACATCTGCTCCTTCTCAGCAACTGCCCGCAGCGAGGCAGCCTAGTAGGAAACGGGTTTTAGAGAAATCATCCAATCCTGCAGAATTTTGCTAAGTGTTCCCAAGTAATCAACACTCCCTGCTTTCTTACGGGCCAACGTGAAAAAGAAATTGGGGATTTACTG